GATGATCTCTAAATTCAGGTGGGATATATTCAAGATCATATTTTGGCTCTCGTGGACTTGTTTTCATTTTCTTCAGTTTCAGTTTGAATTTGCATATTAGTAACTGATGGTCTGGTCCACAATCTGCCCCTGGCCTTGTTTTCACTGATATGGTGCTTTTCCATCATCTGTTTCTCAGGATTTCAAAAATGATAAATCTTTATGGAAGCAGACAGCTTCACCTTTCTCCCACAGAGTGGTCAATGGGTTTAAACCAATGACATTACAGTTAGCAGTCTGATGTGTAGCTCACAGTGCCATCAGGGTTTCTAAATTATAAGTTAGATATGAATGTTTGCATGTGTTTCATAGACATTTGTGTTCTTTTTTTAGTACTATTAATATCCTTTACAGGAAGCTCTGGTAGCATAGTGGTTTATGAATTGAGCTGCTAACTGCTTGGTCAGCAGTTCAAATCTACCAGCCACTCTCTGCAGGAGAAAGATGAGGCTTTCTGCTCCTATAAAGATTTACAGCCTCAGAAACCCTATACAGGGTCACTCTGATTTAGAACTGACCTGATGGCACTTAACAACTACAATATCCATAGAATAAATTGACTCAATATGAGGGTGAGTCAAAAAGTATTGCTACAAAATTACAGACACCTTTACTAAACAAAAGTAACAAAATGTGAAGTTATTGTTTCTCAACATACCCTCCATCTAGATTTATAGACTTCTGATGGCAGTGTTTCCATCTCTCCAATCCTCCCCTAAAGAATTCTGTGCTCTTCAATTTACACCACGTCAAGACAGCCTTGAGGGAGTAAAACTATGTTCCTTTTCAATGTTCTTTGAATTTTGGGAACAAAGATAAGTATCAGGGCTGTAGGGTGAATGGGGTAATGTTTTTCAATGCATTTATCCATGGAAGGTCCATTTTACCCTTGAAGAATGTGAAGAATGCACAGGTGCATTGCCAGAATGTAAAGGCATTCCTCAGTGCAACTTCTCTGGCCTTTTTCTTACAGATGAAGTTTTTTTTGTTTGTTTGTTTTCTTAAACATCTTCATAATATGTCCCTGTGATAATCCTATAGCTTTCAAGAAAATCTTACCAAGATTATCCCTTCTGAATCCCAATAATCACTAAACATTCTGAACTGAACTCTCAGTTTTGAATTCATCTTTGAGTTCTTCCTGATCATCCTTAAAACACTTGATCCATCTGAAAACTATTGTCTTAAGTAGGGCAGCAAACTTGAAAACTTGTTGCAAAGCTTCAGTGATCTGAGAAGACATCCACAGGAGTTTTGTTAAAAATTTGATAATAGCTCTGACCTCAAAACTGTTTTTCTCCATGGCAAAAAAAAAGTAGCCTTTTGTTTTCTTTTGTTTTGTTTTGTTTTGTTTTTGTTTTTGGAAGGTCCCTCTAATGAGACTAAGACAATTGTGTTACTGAGAGAATTTGTCTGCAAGTGTTTAAGCACGTCTTCAGTAGCAGAGATATCCTTAAATACATTTTGTTTAGAATAAACCATGCATGATGAAACTGGAACTCTAGTAAGAATACTTTTGACTTATACTCATATGTAATGATATAGAATAATATACAAAATACATTCTTTAATTTTTAAAAAGCAATCTTAGCAATATACACAATATACTGGTCCTGGTGTGGCACTGTGGGTTAATGTGCTGGACTACAAAGTCAGTTTGAACTACAACGTCAGTGTTTCAAACCTCCATCAGCTCCTCGAAAACCCTATACAGGGCTGCTATGAGTCAGAGTCAACTACAGCATTTAACAACAACAGTATACTGCCTTTTGTATGGAGCCTGGTGTGGTGCTGTAGGATTAGCTCTGGATCGCAAGGTTGGTTTGAACCAGAAGGTCAGCTGTTCAAATTCACCAACTGCTAATCAGAAACCCTATAGAAGGTCACTGTGAGTTGGAAAAATACCAGCAAGATGTATTGGTACAGTGATAGCAGCAATAGGCTCAGGTGTAGTAATGGTTGGTCCAGGACCCGAGCAGTGTTTCATTCTGTTGTACATAGGGTTGCTATGAGTCGGTACTGATGCAATGGCACCTAACAACAACATGAGTTGGAACCGACTTGACAGCACTTAACAACAATCCTATGTATATCTATACCTAGACTATCTTGAGAAGAATCAACAAGAATCTCCCAGCATTGCAAACTGGCAGTGCTGTCCAGTGTCTGAGGAGAAAATAGGTGGGTGGGGAAACAGGAAGAAAGAAAGCTTGTTTTGTTTTCATTGGGTACCATTTTAAATTTTTTGTAATTTTGTGCATATGATACCTAGTCAAAACTTAGCAATTAATTAAACATACACACTCTAAAGAGATAGAACAAAAGGGAATGAAAGGACTGGGGGAACGTTCTGGAGGAACAATGAGTCCTAACTTTAGAGCAAACTTTAGAGCAAATGGCAAATTCTAGAGGCAGAGCTCTTGCCCTGCCCCATTCGGTGCCAAACATTAATGAGTGCCTTTCATAACAAGCTGGGTGTCAGGTGTTCACATATTGGTGGGGGGAAAGAGAAGTATTTAGATTGTAAATCATATTGATCTGTGGTGATAACCCTTGTGGAGGATGCTCAGAAGCAATAGAAGAGGCATTCATCCCTATCTCCAGTGGGAAGTTAAGAAAAATCTCCCCTGGAACAGTAATGCTTGCCTCTCCCTGATACCCCAGCTCCACCACCCTCACCGCCTTGTCCCAGAGTTCACCTACTATGAAGGAGTCTTAAGTAGTCTTCCCTTTGTCATTGTTTCTTCAGAGCAGCTTCAGAAGCCCAACGTCACTGTTACGGCCACCATATCTGAAAGTGCCTTCTGTAACTTCACCCTGGTGTGTTCCGTGAAGACGGCAGGGGAAAGCATTCATTACAAATGGATGCAAAAGGACTTCAATGTTTCTAAGCTCTATGAGGACTCCACTCTCACCGCCTCCTGGATGTTCTGTGACCCAGATCGAGTGTACACTTGCACAGTCACGAACCCTGTCAGCCAGAGCAGCTCTCACTCTATGCATGCCCAGCAGTTCTGTACAGGTACCTGACTCTTCTTGGGCTCTCCAGAGGACTCCAGAATTAGGCTGAGCAAGCGTGAAACCTGAACCCCAGGGTTCTGGCAGGACATAGATAGTGTGGGGAAGTGAGAGAACAGGACTGAAGACTCTCTTCTGTATCTTCAGTGGCCTAAGAGAGACTAGCAAGAAAGAGACTTGGAAACTTCAGGACACTGGGGAAACTGCAAGGGAGAAGAAGAGAGTATAGATGACAGATTGATCTTTCCTTGGGTGGGGATGTCCCTTAGAGTATCTCAGAAGGTCAGACAGGGGAGGAGAGGTCTGGTATATAGTGGGCAGAAGCAGGTGGAATGAGCAGTCATGGGAAAGCAGCAAGGAAGCCTCATCATAGGAGATGTCTTAGAGGATGGGATGGAGACCCTGGGAAGGCTGGCCAAGGGATCAAGGTGTTGGGATACAGTAACTGAGCTGCAATGCCTCTTCTCTGACTGCAGATCCAAGTGCCTCCAGAGGAGAAACAGGGAGGAAGGAAGTGATAGGGATCCTGGGAGAGTCGGTCATCCTGGAGGCCCCAGCCAGTCAGAACGTAACGAAAGTTGTGTGGATGTTTAACACATCTGTTATCAGTGAAAAGTGGGGAGAAACAACAACAGCCAATTCGCTCACTAAGTCCAAAGAACCCAATAAGGACAGAGTATGGGTCTCTAGCCAGGACCACTCCCTGAAGATCAGCCAGCTGGAGATGGAGGATGCTGGACACTACAGTGCCTATGTGTGCTCAGAGATCACCAGAACGAATCACTTCTCCTTGAGCATCCACTGTGAGTCTCTGGGCATAGTGTCCATCATTTGATTCCTTCCCTGAAATGTTTCTCCTCTTTTCTGCATTCCCCACCTCTTTTCTTTCCCATGCCTCTCTTTGTACCAAAATGCCTTGGACCTCTAGGACAGCTATTTAATTCATACCAGTCAATTCACAGGAAGAAAAATTACAACCAGCAACTGGGAAAATCTACCTGTCAAGATCTGCCTTCTTATAAGCCAATAATTAGGCCTCGACCACTCAACTTCCAGATACTTGCATTGAATTGGTTATCAGATGGGTCGAGAAACCCTCCAAAATGCATTTTTATAGAACATGGGTATTTTCTATAAGGTTAGATCCAACTGGGATGGAAACAGAGACAAGTGAGAAGGCCCCTGTCAGTATCCAGATGACTCTGTGGTGTTTGAGGGTGTGAAACACTCTCTTACATGTGAGGGAGGGAACGTGCATTCTTCTTTTTCCTCCCTGGACCACAAGGGAGCTTACCTGGATGGAATGCATGGCTTGAATGTGTTAGCTACTTTGTCTGTACTGTTCAGGCATGGTCAGTACACCCCTGCCTAGGTTTGTTGGTATCTGGATATACGTGAAAATATGCAGCAAGTTAAAATATGCAGCAAGACAGTCAAGAGCAAGGTCAGTTGGTGATTCGATAATAGAAGTTTTACCTTCATGCAGTACACCTGGATTCAATCCCAGTCAAAGCACGCCACCATCTGTCTGTCAGAGGAGGCTTGAATGCTGCTATGTTGCTGAACAGGTTTCAGCAGAGCTTCCAGACTAAGATGAACTAGGAAGAAAGGCTTGGCAATCTATTTCCAAATATCTGCCCATGGAAATTCTGTAGGTCAAAATGATCCACCAGTGGCAGTGTCTCATTCTGTTGTGCTTGGGATCACCATGAATCAGAAGACAACTCAATGGCAGCTAACAACAACAGGCCTAGCACACACCTACTGCATGCTGTGGCTCAAATAGAAAAGAACCAGCAAGAAGATTAAGTAAAAAAATACAAACCATGAACAGCCAGTCTTGTTATTTCTTTTTAAAGTGTTAACTGTGTTAGTTCTCTAGGGCTGCTGTAACAAAGTACCACAAAGTGAGTGGCTTCCAACAACTAAAATATATTGCTTACAGTTCTGAAGACTCTGAGTCCAAATTTAGGGTATCTCTGAAGTTTCTTGGAGAAGTTCTTTTCTAATCTCTCTGTTTCTGGTAGTCCAATGGTCCTTGGCATCTTTCATCTGTCTGTGTCTCTTCTCCTCTTCTATAGGACACCATTTGGACTGGATTAGTACACACCCTACTCTGATACTAACTTATGTTAAACTTAATTGACAACATCTTCAATGACTCTATTTCCAAATAAGGTCATATTCACAAGTACTAGAGTTTAGGACTTCAACACAAATTGGGCAGGGATGTGGGGGTTGGGAGGAAGTCACGATTCAATCTATAACATAAGCATTTTTTCAGCATCGACTATGTGGCAGTGGGAGTCCTGGTATGGTGCTGCAGGATAATGCATTGGGCCACAAGGTCAATTTGAACCACAAGGTCAGTGGTTCAAACTCACCAACTGCTCCTCAGAAACCCAATACAGGATTGCTATGAGTTGGAACCAACTCAAGGGCACTTAACAACAATGTGACAATTACTATCTATGTTCAACTGTCTACCTGGATCCATTCACAAAATTAAACAAATAATTAATAGGTCTTCAAATGTCAGCCTTGCAAGGGACTTCAGAGCACGTAGAAGAGCTGTGATTGTTTTGGTGGAATGATCTGCTTGTTTTTTACAGCTGAGAGTATACCATATAGAATGATGCAACATCTTTTTTTCCCATTTTCAGTAACCCCCTTATTTCACACTTGAGCATCAGAAGACCTTGGAGGTGAAACGACATGCCTGAGATTTCATAGCTAACAAAGAAATGTCAGGCACACTCCATAATGTCCATGACACTTGGAGGCAATTTCCCAGCCCTAACATAGGGTCAACATACAACTTCAGCTGATTAGATTTTGAACAAATAAAGACAGGGTGACTCCATGGGCAAGTTTGAAGCCCACATGGGGCTTGCTCTTCTCCCCACACAGGGAAGTTGAAGAAGCCAAAAGTTACCTGGAGCCCTAGGCCCCCTGAGGATGGCACCTACAGATTTACCCTGATCTGCTCAGTAGAGGAGAGTGAGAATAATGTGGTATATAGATGGACCTTCCTGCAGGAGGAAGCTCTTATGTCCCAAGAGGAGTCATTCCCTAATGTCTCATGGAAAAGCAGTGAAAATTACCCCAACTTCTCATGCATAGCCACAACCTCTGTCAACAGTAGTTCCTGGCAGTTTCTTTTTGGGAATATCTGTCCAGGTTTTTATCTTCGTCACTAATCATACAGGCCTCAGGGTCACAATTCCAAAAAGAGTATGCAGTGATTCTTTATGAAAATGCAGCAAGGGAGTGTGGGCGAGAATTTTAGAGCAGTGCATTCTAACAGAAGTTTAATGGAAGCCAAACATGTAATTTAAAATTTTCTAATAGCCTATTAGAAAAAGAAAGAGGCAACATTAATTTTTACATTTTATTTAACTTAATATACCTAAAAAAGGAGTCCTGGTGTGGTGCTATAGGATAAGCACTCAACCACAAGGTCGGTTTGAACTGCAAGGTCGGCAGTTCAAATTCACCAGCCACTCTTTGGAAACCCTATAAAGAGTTGCTCTGTGTTGGAACCGACTGGATGGCACTTAACAACAACAATATATCCAGAATATCATCGTTTTCAATATGCATCCAATATTTTTTAATTAATCTTGAAATCGTTTATATCTTATCTTGTACTAAGTCTTTAAAATTCAGTGTGTATTTTATTGCTGTTGTTGTTAAGTGCCATGGAGTTGGTTCCAACCCATAGTGACCCTATACAGGGTTTCTGAGGCTGTAAATCTTTATAGTAGCAGAAAGCCTCATCTTTCTCCCATGGAGCAGCTGGTAGTCTCGAACTGCTGACCTTAAGGTTTGCAGCCCGATTTGTAACCACTATGCTATCAGAGCTCCTTTTATAGCATATCTCAAATTAGATGCTAAATACTCATGGACATATTTGATCTGTATTAAGACTTTATAAAATTTACAGTTGAAAATACATATTTACATACCCAAGTTGCTCTAACATGCTTACTGTTCTTTCAATAACTAAATCTTATATCAGTTTTAAATTTTAAATTTAATTAAAATTTTAAATTTTGTTCCACTAACCTCATTTCAAGGACTTGTACAGGGTTCATGAGGATAGTATTAGAAGCACAATATTAGAAGTTTGTGGAGAAAAATTTGTAGAAAGTTAACATATAAAGGGATGCAGAGAACCAAGGAACAAGACTATGTGAGTGATTTAAAAAAGGAAACTCTGGTGGCTTTTACTAAATGCCAAGCACTGTTCTAGACATTTTTTCCTTTTAATACAGTCTTCACAAGGTTACTATGAAGCAGATATTCTTATTATTCCCCACTATATAGATAAAGGAACTAAATCTCAGAGAGGCTAAGGAACTTATTAAAGATACCATAGCAAAAGCAAAATTGGAACTCTGTGAGTTCTGTCCTCTGTCCTTCCCTACAGGGAGACAGAATGCATGAAAGGTCTACCTAGGGTCTGATGATGCTAGGTCAGGCTGTATCTGGCAGATCGACCTAGATCCTAGCCCAAGAGGACTCTGTATTCTTTCTGTCTCAAGTCTGGAACTCCCTAACTACCATTTACAGAAAGAGGAAGCGTAGTTTGATGGTAGTGTGCTTTAAATCAGAAAGATGGCATTCAAATCCTAACTGAAGTACTTAAACTCTGTGACACTGGACAAGTCAGAAGTCTTTATACCCAGGAACTTATTTACCACTACAACTTCTTGCCTAGAACAATGTCTGCTCAATGCATTTCTGTAAACTGGAAATAAATATTTTCTGCAATATTATAGGATTTTTAAGAGGTTTGTAGGATGGCCATTATGTTCCATCTATCATTTGCTCCGATCTTACTTGTCATTGTTTGTATTAATATCACTCTCTTTTTTTTTTTTTCCAAAGGGCCTGAAAGAAGCAAGAATCATTGGATTATACTCTCCCTGATAATTCCTGCTCTTCTACTCTTTGGGATCTTCTGTAGCTTGTTCTTCATCTGGAAGCAAAAAAGACAATGTGCGTTTGCTGAAACCAATGATGTCTGCTAGTGCTAGGTCATTTCTCTGGGGCTTCCTTTCCTCTGGACAATTTTATGTACTCACATAATCCCCTCCTACACATAATCTTGCCTCCCAACGTCTCGCTTTATCTCCGAGTAATGAATGGGATAGGAAGCAGGTGTCGTTGGAGTTCTTTAATTCAAATTAGTTTAGACCAAAAGGGTTTATAGGGAAGGAGTGACTTACTACTTATTGATTATAATCTGTGGAAAGAACAGGAGTTGAGTTGACCTTAGGGATAGATACCATCAGAGCCTCAAATTTAGCAGAGCTCCTCATCTCTCACCGCCACTTCTCTCTTTGAGCCAATTTGACCCTCTCCTATTGCAGTCAATAAGGAGCCGTGGTGGAGTGGTGATCTAGTGCTTGGCTACTAACCAAAAGGTCATTAATTCTAAACCACCAGCTGCTTCATGGAAGTAAGATGTGGCGATCTGCTTCCACCCTAGTTGCCAGTTCTAGTCTGTCCTACAAAGTCACTATGAGTCAAAATCAACCCGACAGTAACAGGTTTGGTTTTTTGGATTGCAACCAACAGAGAGGTAGGTGTGAAGGGTGTGCCACAGCATGACCATGAGAGCTCCAGACTTACACAAATGAATAGCTCAACACTAGACAGGGGGGGAAAAATTGTTACCCTCCAACTCCAATTTGAAACTTCTCAGAAAATAGCTCTGATTTGGTCTTACTTTAGGGTAATGTGGTCATTTGTCACACTAATCAAGTGACCAAGGGGATGAGGTATTATGTTTGGCAGCTCCTTCTAGGATTTTCACTTATAGAGAGGAGAGGGAGTAGCTCACAGAAAAAAAGAACAGGAGGGCTAGAATATCTGAGGGCCCTGGAAGAATCAATGAGAGAGGAAAACCATTCTGGCTCCCACAGAGGGATTAGAGCTGTCCCTTTAGAGGGATGGAAGGAAGCTCCAGAGCCTTCTCCTCAGCTCAAGGTGACCTTATACTATAGGTACATCAGGGTTCACCCATTAAAGCTTTTTGCCTACCATTTCCCCAGAAATCTCTTTCCATCTTCTTTGATGCTCAAAGAAGCCTCTCTCCTCACAGCTTCTTGGTAAACCTTCACTAACTTCATTTCTCAGGTTCAACTCTAGCCTTCAGTTCTAGACAAGCTGAGGATCCAGTTGGCACAGCAGGTAATATCACCAGTGATGCTGTCTGTGGGGTCTCTAATCCATATGAAAGTTTCAAACAAAGCCTTACTACTCAACGTGGGGTCTATCAAACAGCAACCTGGCCATCACCCAGAAATGTAGAATCTTAGACCACACTCCAAAATACTGAGTCAGAATATGCATTTTTAAAAGATCCCCAGATGATTCATGTGTCCGTTGAAGCATAAGAAGCAATGTGCTAGTGATGGGTATTTTAGAGGACAAACACCACCACCAGAATAGACTCTTGAGAGACAGTGGCCAGAGCTAGGAGAAACTATCTGTCCTTGGTGGAATCTTGAGGGTTCCTAAGGCACTGATTTGTCATCACTGGAATGTGGTCTGTGATGAAGATGAAGTTATTTTCTCTACTTAGAGAATGAAGGAAAAAAAGACTAAATGGAATAGTAAACCTGTGACAGAAACAAGATTAAAACTGTAATGGAAAAGTAAAGCCAATGGTGTTGGTGGTTTGTGGTGTGCCATGGAGTCAGTTACAACCTATAGCGACCCTATACAGGGTTTCTGAGGCTATAAATCTTTATGGGAGCAGAAATCCTCATCTTTCTCCTGTGGAACACCTGGTAGTTGCAAACTGCTGACCTTGAAGTTAGCAGCCCAATTAATAACCACTACACTACCAGAGTCGAAATATACATAATTTAAGAGCATCACTGAGGCAGTGACTTTCCAATTCTTTTAAAAAAGCTATGAAATGCTTTCTTCAAGCAAGATATTATTCAGACCCCCAGTAACATAAGGCATGTAAAAATGAGATTGTTTTGATGGATGGTGGAGCAAAGAGGTGATATGCCTACCCTTACTCTTCTACCCCATCCCCATAGTCTTAAATTACCAGCTTGTAATCTGGAGCTCTTTGGAAACCCTATGCAGAGTCGCTATGGGTTGGAATCGACTCAACAGCACTTAGAAACAACAACTCTAGAGTTCTAAGGAATACCTATCTCTGCCCACTCAGATCAATCCCTGCTTTTAAAAAGCTCTTATCATCTCTCATAGAGGGATTTTCCCAAGGAGATGAAATAACAGAAGGGACTAAGAGGAGACAATTCAAGTATTTCAACAATACAGTATTTTCCCAGAAAGAAAAATGTAACCAAGAGAAAGGAGGCAAAAAATGGGAATGTGGACTATGAAGCTTCCCAAAAGCTCCCTTCTCACAATTGGCAGGGCAGAGAGCCCTCCATCCTCTCCAGTCTGGGCCCTCCTTTCTTGGCGCCCTAGTCAGGTAAGGATGAATGGAGAATTGATAGGGACATCACCATTATCTTTGTCTTCCTCCCTGCCCCAACACTTCTCGTTAGCTCCCAAAGTCTGCTTTTTTATATTCTCCAACATTTCTCCAAGATCCCCTCTTCACTTAGGCCCTAGTTTTTGCATCACCAATTTTTTTGTGCAATTATATAGTTATTTTTGGAGTCCTGCTGTGGCGCTGTGGATGAGCTGAATCTCAAGATCGGTTTGAACCACAAGGTCAGCAGTTCAAATATATCAGCTGCTCCTTGAGAACCCTATACCAGGTTGCTATGAGTCAGAACCAACTTGATGGCACTTAAACAGTGTTAATTATTTTAATTACAACTTTTATTATATGCTATGTACTGTATACAATTAAAAATAAATATCCTTCCAAATCCCAATCTCCTTTCAAATACCAACTTCCATGCCTCTTCTGGGGTCAGTAAATCCTTTATTCAAGTTCAAACTCACTTCTTATTGGTAACACGAACTTGCAAATTTTACTCTCTTACCCTCAATTTGTCTATGTCTTAGAAAATGAAAGTACCTATGTCTCAGAGTTGTTGTAAGGACTGAACCAGGTAGAAAAATGTTGAACACAGTGAGTGTTCTACAGATGGCAAATTCTATTATAGCTCAGTATTGGACCAGACTTCCCTTAATTTTTTCCTATACATAGTCCATAATTCAAAAATGTTTGTAACAGTACATTAACAGGGAA